AAAGAAAAGCAACCAACCAGACGAGAACACAAAAGAAACAGGCAATTCTCCTACTCGGGAATATTCTGCAATAAAGGGCTGGTTTTACAACTCATACATCGATTTAGTGCAATTACGCCCATATTCAGAATGGAAGCGATACCCAGTGTGAATTGTGTCATTGCAGCCATCTCGCACCACTGCTGGGAGAAATTCCAAGTTCCGGTTCAGAGACTCCCAAAAGGGCGTGTGCAGCGTTGCTTTGGTGATGTCAGTTATTGCCAGATTGTAGATGAAAATGTTGGTGATACTCTTGAGCCTAGAGTCTTTACTAATCACATAGATAATCAGAAGATTACCGGGTACACATGCAAGGCAAACGAGAATGGGCAAGCTCACCTCAAAACTAATCTCAGCGCGTGAACGACCCAGAGGATCCAAAGAGATTGAGCCATAGCTTTTCACCATTTTGTGATGGAGCAGTTTGACTAATGTTCATCAAATTGGATGAATATTAGTCTTTATAAAGATTGCTAACCATGGCGGACCAAAATTCACCTACTGTTTGGAAAAATAAAACTTGCTACTGATTATATTTTAGCGACTAGTTAGCTGTTGACGCCTTAAGCAATCATTAGCATTTGTAATTAAGAAGTGCAAGGACACTACTTATTTTCATCAACACGTTCGGTAGTGCGATAGTGGTGTTGGAAATTGTGAAACTAAGGAATGAGATTCACTTGAAATCTTCTTTGAAGAATGAACAATTCATAGATCTTCTCAAATTTTTTCTCCTCTCTCATGCACTTGAGTATGATATTAAAAAATTGTATTGCTAAAAGAGGGCAAAAAACATGTTTCCAAGCTTTTCAATATTATCCAAGGCTGTTTCAAAACTATTTTTGTTCTCACCTTCCAAGTGTCAAATCTTATATTAATGAGAACACCTGCAGTTTCCTGGTTGTTTCAAATATCAAGAGAATTAAGCTTTTCAGTTCCAGTTTTTTGTGAGTCTTATTCCGAAGTAGAAGCATGAGGTACCTATCTGTAAACGAAATACTCAAATTTGAAATTCAGAATTACATGCTTTCAACTCCTCAT